TAATTGATTACAACTGTCCACCTCCTAAGTTCCTACTTGGAGTGCAACTAGCTGGTCAACGGGGGGTGATTGCTTGCCTTTTGACCTGCCAGCATGCTCCTTATATACTCCAGGAACCCCTATCTATGTTTTACATGTGTTTTAATGCAGGATACTTCGGTCCAAATTACAAATATGAAATTTAGTGAACGTGTGGTATATTTTGTAGTTTTTCTCTGTGAACACTACAGATTTTGTAGTGTCGCGTCTTTCATTTTCAAACGCATCAGTGTTTGATGCGTACGCGGAGTTAGCCGACATAGCTATTCTTAGCTTGGCATGATCTTGCGTGTTTCTTTCTATGGCCCGGTTTACCAGTTTAACAGATGACATCACAAAATGATTAATGTTTCCTGATGTGTTGATGCGCATGCGTACGCGTTACCAATAGTCTTTGGCCTTCCGTCATTTCCGAGTTTTTTAATTAAAATGCCCTGTCTTGGCTCGTCTTTTCATTACGGAGGTCGGGAGACACTCCAAAGGTGTTTTCAAATGTCTTTCTTAATTGTCAGGGTGTTCTTATTATATTTCATATAATAGAATGTGTCTTTTTCTCATGTTTGTACTTGTGACATTCAGACGCATCAGTCTCTGATGCGTATGTGGGAATTGCCGTACATGACTTTCTGAATGGCTGCAAGCCACACTAAATCTGCACATGTTTACTACTTAGGTGTAGTTTAGTCTTTCAATGTTTCAGACATGCCGTTTAGGCGTCTATGTCATCTTTTCTGTATTTCTTGTATAAGCACGAGTTTCCACAATAAATCCATTATGTGTTTCTAAACCCTTTGGTAGTAATGCAATTCTTCTCCTTGTGTTGGGTGTTTACTCTAGAACCGCTTCGTGCTCTATTTCATGGTAGGTGAATCTTAGATAGGATCCAAGTATAATGTCATGACGTGTACTGCTGCCAGTTCCAAAGCCTTTGTCCTATTTTCAGATTCCACGCATTTGCATTTTTAGTCAACTGTGCCGGGTATGTGCATTGACTCTTTGTATCATTGCAATTGTATGTAGTGTATTTATTAGAGATGACCTTTATTGGTAAAATCGTTAAAATTGAATTTTATATGGGTGAAATGGTTTCATCTGTATCACCGCGTTATTTGAA